ATTTGTGATTTCTTTAAGAAATACAATGGCGTCAGAGAAATTCAGAATGTTTAACATTTAGATTGTTTTAACAGTTTACATTTTCTTTTGTGTTGAAAGTTCATAATTGGTCAAAGAATTCCTTAAGGGAGTACACCGGTCGGTCCACAAGCCAGTTCCAGAGTTGCTGTTTGAATTGGTTTCCTGTTGCGTTCTTGAGGTTGTTTGGAAGAGAGTTGATGATTTTTCGGCCAATATAAGAGGGTTTTCTGCTGTATTGTGTAGTGTGGTGGATCGGAAGGTTGTAGTCGGCTGCTTTTCTGGTGTGGTAGGAGTGAAAATTCTCATTTCTGGGAAGGTTGAGTTTTTTTGTGTACAGGACAACTCCATGGATGTAGAGTGCTGTCACTGTTAGGAGCTTAAGGGATTTAAATGCTTCCCTGCAGCTGTCTAAGCGCTCAAGGCCGGAGAGTGCCCTGACAGCTTTTTTCTGGAGTACCAACACTTTGTTGAGGTTTGCTTCTGATGTTCCTCCCCAAGATATTAAGCAATACCTTATATGCGATTCTATTACAGCATAGTAAGCTGTCTTAGCTGTTTCCAGGCCTCCTATCCATTTCATCCTCTTTATTACATGGACACCAGATGCAAGTTTTTTGGTCAGGTTGTGTATGTGGTCGTTCCAGGAGAGGTCTTCATCAATTGTCAGGCCCAGCAGTTTTGAGTTTTTTTCAACGGTTATTTCAGGAATTTCTTGGATTTGTTCATGTTTTCGGCTGAAATTTAACTGGGTTGTTTTTGATGGATTAATGGCCAGGTCATTTTGAAGGCAGTACTGCAGTGCTTTGTCTGTTGAGGATAAGATGTTGGAGTGTAATTCTTGTGGTAAGTCGTGCATAAATAGAAGAGTTGTGTCATCAGCGTACATTATTGTTTCACAATTGTCATTCCTAATAAAATCTGGAAAATCATTGGTAAAAAGGATGAACAAAAATGGGCCCATGACTGAGCCCTGGGGCACTCCCCTGTTAATCGAAAGTTGTGTGGACCTATGTACAGATTTTCTCCCATTTGTGTTTTGCTGGATTTCAACAATTTGTGTACGTCTTTTCAAATAGCTTGCCACCCAGTCTTTGGCCATTCCCTCTATTCCTAGGGCTGTGAGTTTCCTTAGGATGAGATTATGGCCCAGGCAGTCAAAAGCTTTGCTGTAGTCAAGTAAGACTGTTGATACATATCTGCGTGCTTCTAGATGGTCAATGATTTGTTCGATTAAACTAGTTAGAGCTGTGGTGGTGGACCTCCCTTTGAGAAAACCATGTTGGTTTTTAGTGATGAGATCATTGCTTTCCAAGTGACTCAGCATTCTTGACAGAGCGACCTTTTCTATTACTTTTGAAAAGGTTGATATTAATGAGATAGGGCGGTAGTTTTCTTGTTTAGTGCGTGAGCCTTTTTTGTGCTTTGGGTATATTTTTGCTATTTTTAGGGCGGAGGGAAATTGTCCAAGGCTAAAAGATTTGTTTATTATGCTGACAAGTGGGGCTGCCAGTTGTTCGGCACAGTGTTTTACAACTTTTGATGGCACTTCATCTACTCCACATGACAGCTTTGATTTCAGTGAGGCTATTGTTGCTAAGACTTCTTTAATGGTTGTAGGAGTTAAAATTAGTGGCTGGACATTGCTTTGTGGTAGAAATAGTGGATGTGTAATTTTTTTGTTTTTGAATTGGCTTCTGTTTTTTTCTAAAGTGGAGTCTGCTATTTCTGCAAAATATTGGTTTAGGTGTTCAGCAATGTCAGTAGGGTTATCTAATATTTTTCCCTCTATTTCCAGCTGCAGATTTGGTTCTTCCTTCTGTTTACATTGTTTTTCTTTGTTGATGATCTCCCAGACAGCTTTGGATTTATTATCAGCACTTGTGATGTATTCTGCAGTGGCTTGTCGCTTGAGGGACCTGAGCTTTAAATCATATGTTTTCTTTTTTTCCGACATTGTTGTTTTATCATTTACATTTCCGGTAAGCTCGTATAAGTTCAAACATTGAACGAAATGGGAAACGCTGCACCAGCTGATCATAGTCGTGATATCTTTAAGTGCTGCCAACCTATTTCCAAGCATACACGGATTACGTGCATAATAAAAGCACACTGTTTTGTGTTGTTTGGTTGAAATACTGGTGTGCTAAAAAAAAAAAAAAAAAACCGTGCAGCAAAGTAAACACTGTGTGGCAAAAGTAAGTAAATGCAGCAGTTGGCAACTGTCTGTACTATAGTCAGTGCAAGGAAGCCCACTTTGTCGGGTGACTGTAGGAAAAAGTTATTTAATTCATCTCTAGCAAAAGAAATAGCTGTTCAATAATAGTTTAAAAAATAAGATAGATCTAATTATTATTTGACAAGCTATTCCATTGACTCTCTTGAAAGATTCAGAGCGTTCTTCGCTGAAATAGTTTTAACAGACCAATTTTAAATGGCTAGTCACATACACAAATAAGAATGTACGTTAATACTAGGGATGGGCGGGCCCTCGAAATTTTGGAAAATTTTAAATCTTGCTCTATGAGACGAGATTCTATTTTAGTCTAAATTTTTTTCAAACAAGATTACAATGTTTTTTTATTTCAAAATTTTAAAAAATTAATAAAAAGTTTAAAAATTAAAAAATTCAAAAGTTAAAAAAAACTTTGCGAAGGCATTTTTATTTAATTATTCTTTACATGGAAATATTGCTACAATTCTTTTATATTTTTATTGACATAGCAAATGATGATGAGCTTTGTTAGTGTAAGCAGTGTGAGACATGTTTTACTACTGTAAACATAGCCAAAATAACTTACTCTTACTCTTAACTTACTCCCATGGCCATTTGTACCCCAAGTGATACTTGGCCTCACCAACACACTGCCTTCTTGTCGCCCTGTCTCTTGCGGTATCTTCATTAACTTCCATCCTGGCCATATCTTTCTTTACTTCATCCGTCCAGCGATTCCTCGGTCTCCCTTGTGGTCTCCTCCCCAGTGGGTCACTTTTCCATATTTGATAAAGTGTGCTAGTTTCCTCTCTTCTAATGATGTGGCCCGTCCAGCGAAGCCTCCTGCTTTTAGCCTCTGCAATTATATCTGGCACCTTGAACAGGTCTCTTAGTTCCTGATTATTTTTAATTCTCCACACATCTCCTTCTTTAGTAGGGCCAAAGATTTTGCGCAGGACTTTATTTTCAAAAGTAATAAGTTTTTTCTCTGTGTTTTTATCCATAATCCAGGTTTTAGCTCCATAAAGAAGGACAGGTAGATTTTAAGTTTAGTGTGATGAGACAATAATCTTGATGACAATAATTTGTTTAGAGCATACATACTTCTACTGGCTAGGTTTATTCTATTCTTGATTTCTATGTGTTCCTCACTTTGTGAGTTGACAATAACTCCTAAATATTTAAAAGACTCAACTTGTTCATGTTCATACTGTTGTTCTATTTCTGTCATGTTCTCCTCGTTCTCTGCTCCCCTTCTAAATCTGACAAGTTTCGGTTTGTTGTCATTTATTTTCAGGCCCACTGCTCTTGTTTCTCTTTTAAGGATTTCAAACATTTCCTGGAGTTCTTCTCTGGTCTCTGCAAGCAGTACTACATCATCTGCAAAGGCGAGCACGCTTATCTTACTTCCAATTCTTATGCCATATTCTGTATTCTTCAGCTCTTTAACACGTTGACTGCGCGTGCCGACTTTAGTCGGCGTCGCCAGCGCTCCCAGGTGGCGCGCGCCGACTACAGTCGGCACCAGACCAACAGTAATATATTGAGTCAGTGTGAGCTTAGCCTCAGACGGAGACGTTATAATCGTTGCCAGCCTGCCAGCTTAGAATGCGAGCTTTACTTTGGTGTAGGTTGGTACTAAAATTTCCCGTAAAATCCCGTCTGGCAATGCTTTTGTCCCGGTTTCGGGGATTTTTTCTCTTCAACCCACATTACAAAGACACTGGATACGGATCCATGCAGTGCTGCTACCTTTGGGTGTTTCAGTGAACTACATCCACTCTCGGGGTAACGCAGCACAGTCACCACTGCTCTTTTGTGATTCGTCAGACTGAAATATTTGAATGCCAATTGCGTTCGCTGATTCGGTTGCGCGCCGGGGCTTCGCCCGCCACTGGGGAGCGCCTGTAAAGTCGGCGCGCGCAGTCAACGTGTTAAGTGCTCCCTCAAGAGCTATATTGAAGAGTGTAGGTGAAATAATATCTCCCTGCCTAAGTCCTGTTTTTATGTCAAAGGATGGTGAGTAGTCATTATCTATTTTAACCTTGCTCTTAGAGCCATTAACACTTAAAGTAGCCAATTTTATTAGTTTATTTGGGTTTCCAAAACTTTCCATTCTATACCAAATTTGTTCCCTTTGAATGCTATCATAGGCTTTGCTAAAATCGATAAATAGGCCATAGAATAGCCAAAATAAGTCACTCCAAAATCATTCTAAAAATAACACAATTTGACTTAAAAATTGTTACTTGATACTTAACTAGTAATACTGTTTTTTAAACTTATAAATTTGATATTTTTCAAAGTTGAACTATATAAATTCAAGTTCAGTTCATTCATTCAGTTGAACTATATAAATTATACTAACTGATATCTCCATGTTTCCTATGCCGAAGAGTTATTTTTAATAAGTTAGCCTTATTAATATTTTTATTATTTTGTTTACTGATGTTTTTATTAATGTTTTTTAATAAACGATTTTAAATATTTTTGTCTACTATTATTATTTTTGTATTTAAACAGTCTGTCGGCAGGTAATAAATCGGTAGGTATTTAAAAATGTTAAAAAATCAGGTTAAAATGTGGAACGTGCATTCCTGTTATGTATGAGAAGGAAAATCCCGCCTCGATCTCGTCTCAAAATTTTATGAGAAATAAAAAAATTCTGTCTGGTCTTGTTTCGAACTAAAAATCTAATCTTGTCTATCCCTAGTTAATACAATACAAAATGTCAATGTTATTGTTATTATACTTCTTTTTTTCATAGTTCCTGGACCACGGGTTGAAATGGCATCACAACAAACTGAGGCTGGAAGGTTATTTAAAAGCTTATGAGCAGATGACAAAAATAGGATCTCTTCCATTTTACATTGTGTCTTTTGGTGAGTATACAGTATCTTCCTTTGACTAATGATACTACTAGATATTCCATCCCCCATTAAAATTGTTGCTAGTTTTTAAATTAAATTCGTCGTAGTTTATGTGAGCCACTGACGGATTGTGTTGATCTAAATTACTAATTTCTGTGAAATACACAATGTTTTTTATCAAGTTGTAACGGGTCAAATTTTATTGGGGGAGTAATATTTTTACGGTCATCCTAAATGGGGATGACCGTAGTTCTCATCCCCAACGCCAGGGGCGGTATGAGAGAATTAATGAATAAATAAAACATAATTTATCTCAAAAACAAAATCATTACACAAAAATACAAATTGATAGTTTGAAATGGATCCCCAAATGGGCTGGTGCCTGTGCTTGGGGATCGATTCCACTATCAGCACAGTGAAAACAATAAGATTTACACCGTAGACTTAATATATTGTAACACAAAATTAACTTGAAAAGAACAACAAGAAATACAATAAATACAAGAAAAATAGTATTTAAAAAAAATTGTATGCACACATATATTCTGTTTATCTTTTCAGTTTAATGTAGCCTATATAAATATAACAATAACAGTAATAAATAAAGACAAAAACATACTATGAATATGAAATATCCTTTTGAAATTGCCTGAGACTTGGTCCATACGTTCTACAGACATTGCCCTAAAACATTCACACACATTCACTCACCCACACAACTCACAAAGTCAGGACTTGAGCTCACGCACAACTAAGATCAAACATACTTTCACAGCCACTACACTCCAACGGTACTTGCTCTGTGACCTTTAGGCGGCTGGTAGCTCTTTTAAAAAAAACTGTAAAAGCACAGTCCCTCTTAGGTCCAGCCCGGTGAAAATAAAAGTGGCACACCCACACGCACACACGCACACAGCACAGACATACTGCATTCATCGTACAAGGAGATGAAATAGTTTCTGATTCTATGACGACCAACTTCTAACAGACATTTTTTAAACATTTTTTTTAAAGTACCTACGTACACTGCATGAAGGGGGGGATTTAATACTTAGTGGAAGTTGGGAGTTAATGATGTTCCAAGATAAAAAGATGAGGTACTATTTATTCACTTCGTTAATCTAGGGGTGATAATTCCATGATTTTGATTATCTGTTTGGGTAATGATGTGTAATCCGTAAGAATAAGAAAGCTTTATTTTTATGAATATACAAACAAAAATAATGATTTTTTTTAGGGATGGACGAGATTGGATTTTTAGTTCGAGACGAGATTTTTTATTTCTCATAAAATTTCGAGACGAGATCGAGACGGGATTTCCCTTCTCATACACAACGGGAAATGCACGTTCAAAATTTTTACCTGATTTTGTAACATTGTTAGATGACTGTTTAAATACAAAAATAATGATAATAGGCAAGAATATTTACAATCTTTTATTAAAAAACATCAGCATAACATTTTATTATTAATCACGCCTAACTTATTAAAAATGCCTACGATTAGGAAACATAGTGATATCAGTTAGGATAGAGTTCAACTTATCCTGAAATAAAATAAATCATAAAATAAAAGCAATATTAATTTTTATAAAATAGTTACTTGTTTTAACTTTTTATAGTAATAAATCATTCCTCACTGCTTACACTTAACAAAACTTCTCAAATGTTATTAAAGTAATATTATTAAAATAATTAAAGTAATATTTACATTTAAAGAAATAATTAAATAAGAACGCCTTCGCAAAGGAAACGCAACTGCAACACGCTCCTGTATTGCGGGTATTGCATTGACTTTCTGCAGGCGTTTTTAATTTTTTTTTTTATTCTCGTCTCGATAAAAATCTCGGCCAAAAAGAAATCTCGTCACGTGTAACGAGATTTAAAATTTCCAGAAAATTTCCCGAAATTTCGAGACTTGACCATCCCTAATTTTTTTTATAGTTGAGGTATATTTAGTAGGTACTTAAAATTCATTAAACAGAGGATTTGAGGTATGAAAGCGATGTTTGTTGAGTGCTATCTTAATAATAGACTTTTGCATTATTTCTAGTGTCTCCAAAACATTCTGATAACATCCACCCAAGCTAAAATTCCATATTGCAATAATTATTGATTGTATATGGGTATAATACACAATTAGAGAGCTGCTTGAGAAGCGCCCTGGGCAGTAAGTTGTTTTATGGTGAGCTGAATAGGGACGCACATTGTTCTACGTTTTAGCGAATTTCCCATATAGGGAATAAGCTATTACAGTAGGTCTCATGGTAAGACTTAGACCCGGGACCGATTTACTTTTTTTTTGAGGTCCCCAGAGGCCAAAAACACCCTACGTTCAGATTCATATATAAATATTATGATTTCACTAGTAATATAAAATAATGTAAATATATATAATATAAAAATTCACTAGTATATATATACTAGTGGCTTGTAGGGACATAAGTCCCTAAAAAGCTCAATAATATAAAACAAATTATTCTTATATTTAAACAAAATAAGAAATATATTATCTATGCGTCAAAATAAATATCCCTGTACGCCATATCCTTTGTGTAAAAAACAGTTTGTTGTTTGTCTTGGTTTGCCTTTGTTGATGTTATATTCAAAAAATAATTAGAATCTATACATAGGTTTAACTCTGCTAAAGGCAGCAAACATATAATTGTTTGTGAATAAATACTGGCTTATTAAGGTAGCTTTGGTCTTGTGGTTAGTGGTGATAAAACAAGGCTTCCCTGATTCGAATTTTGGGAATTGTCTTTGTCAAATACTACACTCCAACGGTACTTGCTCTGTGACCTTTAGGCGGCTGGTAGCTCTTTTAAAAAAAACTGTAAAAGCACAGTCCCTCTTAGGTCCAGCCCGGTGAAAATAAAAGTGGCACACCCACACGCACACACGCACACAGCACAGACATACTGCATTCATCGTACAAGGAGATGAAATAGTTTCTGATTCTATGACGACCAACTTCTAACAGACATTTTTTAAACATTTTTTTTTAAAGTACCTACGTACACTGCATGAAGGGGGGGATTTAATACTTAGTGGAAGTTGGGAGTTAATGATGTTCCAAGATAAAAAGATGAGGTACTATTTATTCACTTCGTTAATCTAGGGGTGATAATTCCATGATTTTGATTATCTGTTTGGGTAATGATGTGTAATCCGTAAGAATAAGAAAGCTTTATTTTTATGAATATACAAACAAAAATAATGATTTTTTTTAGGGATGGACGAGATTGGATTTTTAGTTCGAGACGAGATTTTTTATTTCTCATAAAATTTCGAGACGAGATCGAGACGGGATTTCCCTTCTCATACACAACGGGAAATGCACGTTCAAAATTTTTACCTGATTTTGTAACATTGTTAGATGACTGTTTAAATACAAAAATAATGATAATAGGCAAGAATATTTACAATCTTTTATTAAAAAACATCAGCATAACATTTTATTATTAATCACGCCTAACTTATTAAAAATGCCTACGATTAGGAAACATAGTGATATCAGTTAGGATAGAGTTCAACTTATCCTGAAATAAAATAAATCATAAAATAAAAGCAATATTAATTTTTATAAAATAGTTACTTGTTTTAACTTTTTATAGTAATAAATCATTCCTCACTGCTTACACTTAACAAAACTTCTCAAATGTTATTAAAGTAATATTATTAAAATAATTAAAGTAATATTTACATTTAAAGAAATAATTAAATAAGAACGCCTTCGCAAAGGAAACGCAACTGCAACACGCTCCTGTATTGCGGGTATTGCATTGACTTTCTGCAGGCGTTTTTAATTTTTTTTTTTATTCTCGTCTCGATAAAAATCTCGGCCAAAAAGAAATCTCGTCACGTGTAACGAGATTTAAAATTTCCAGAAAATTTCCCGAAATTTCGAGACTTGACCATCCCTAATTTTTTTTATAGTTGAGGTATATTTAGTAGGTACTTAAAATTCATTAAACAGAGGATTTGAGGTATGAAAGCGATGTTTGTTGAGTGCTATCTTAATAATAGACTTTTGCATTATTTCTAGTGTCTCCAAAACATTCTGATAACATCCACCCAAGCTAAAATTCCATATTGCAATAATTATTGATTGTATATGGGTATAATACACAATTAGAGAGCTGCTTGAGAAGCGCCCTGGGCAGTAAGTTGTTTTATGGTGAGCTGAATAGGGACGCACATTGTTCTACGTTTTAGCGAATTTCCCATATAGGGAATAAGCTATTACAGTAGGTCTCATGGTAAGACTTAGACCCGGGACCGATTTACTTTTTTTTTGAGGTCCCCAGAGGCCAAAAACACCCTACGTTCAGATTCATATATAAATATTATGATTTCACTAGTAATATAAAATAATGTAAATATATATAATATAAAAATTCACTAGTATATATATACTAGTGGCTTGTAGGGACATAAGTCCCTAAAAAGCTCAATAATATAAAACAAATTATTCTTATATTTAAACAAAATAAGAAATATATTATCTATGCGTCAAAATAAATATCCCTGTACGCCATATCCTTTGTGTAAAAAACAGTTTGTTGTTTGTCTTGGTTTGCCTTTGTTGATGTTATATTCAAAAAATAATTAGAATCTATACATAGGTTTAACTCTGCTAAAGGCAGCAAACATATAATTGTTTGTGAATAAATACTGGCTTATTAAGGTAGCTTTGGTCTTGTGGTTAGTGGTGATAAAACAAGGCTTCCCTGATTCGAATTTTGGGAATTGTCTTTGTCAAATACTACACTCCAACGGTACTTGCTCTGTGACCTTTAGGCGGCTGGTAGCTCTTTTAAAAAAAACTGTAAAAGCACAGTCCCTCTTAGGTCCAGCCCGGTGAAAATAAAAGTGGCACACCCACACGCACACACGCACACAGCACAGACATACTGCATTCATCGTACAAGGAGATGAAATAGTTTCTGATTCTATGACGACCAACTTCTAACAGACATTTTTTAAACATTTTTTTTTAAAGTACCTACG